GACCCATCATCTATTGAGAATAATATCATTGTTGAAATTTTCGAATTTTTTTTCTTGACCCCTATGCGTCGAGTTTTTTGAATCTGAACCAATGTGTGTCGATTCCATATTCTCCGTCCGCCATCTACAGGAAAAAGTAAAAGAGCAGCAGTGTAAACTTTATGTTGCACTCATCGACCTAACAAAAGCCTTCGACTCTGTAAACAGAGATGCACTTTGGGCAATTATGAAAAAGTTCGGAGTATCCAGGGGTGGATGGGTCATATGGAAAAACGGGAAAGTTTCCGGTGAGCCGGTGGAAAGATGGGCCGGTGGGCCGGTCCCGATCAGAGCTCAAAAAAGATTGATTTAGCAAAAAGTAAATGGTTAATCTCCTAACTAAAGTTACGTAAGATTCTCAGTGACTGCCTAACTAACTAACTAATCAATTAGATCAATATAATCGTCAGTTGCTTTTAAACATAAACACCAATTTGTAAAATAAGTATTGTTAGATGTCTTCCTCTCAGACACTTATAATTTTAATAAACATCTGTTTGTTGTTCCATTTGAAATGTTTTATTATACAAGGTGAGTCTATAAGTGCACTTTATTTGTGCTGCTTTGTGCAAATATTTTCGGGGCTGGTTAGATGTGAATAAAAGAAACAATATATTCTCTTTACCGTGTTTCAAATAAGTCCAAAATAACCAAGTTATTAAAGTTTGAAATTTAAAAAAAAAAATTCACCGAAATTTTTCTGTATTTGCATCTCTTTTTGTGCCGTAATATCAAAGATTAAGAAAATATACCGTGGGAACATTTGCGGTGAAACATCTTTTTTTTTGCAAAAACTTCGTAGACGTGTTCCTGGGGTCGAAATATACCACCCCTGAAAATATTTGCACTTATTTGAGACTCATCCTGTATAGTTTTACCACTATTCTTTTATTAATAACTAATAAAGACTCCGGCGGGCGTACAGTAGAAAAAAGAGTGAATATCATCTAAATAGTCTTGATCTAAGTGTATACTATAAATATGGTAGCGTAGCTTAAAAATGCTTTTTTGCTTAAATTTTGAGAAGCTCTGGATGTTTTCTGGATTTTCTTTCATGTAAATTTATGTTTATTAACTTAAAAATAAAAAAAAATCCAAAAATGTAATCAAAAAACTCCAAATTTTCGAAAAAAAACTCATAGGCGTGTTTCTGAGACCGAAATATAACTACCAGTTAAAATACTTGCACTTATTTCTGGGACACCCTGTATATTAAAAAATAAAATATGTTTCTTCGTTACGGTTATTTTGTTTTTTGTGGATTCGGGCCGGTTGCCTGTTATTCCCGGGCCGGTTTCCACTTCCCTATCCACCCCTGGGAGTACCCAACAAATTGCCTATACAGTGTGTAAAAACAGGGCCGTACTTGGGGGGGTGTTTTGGGGGTTCAAACCCCCCCCCCCCGAAATTATGGCCGAAAATTTTTAAAAAGTAATGATCACTGAGTAAGTAAGAACGAAACAAAAAAGAAGAAGAAGATGGATGAATATCTATGACTAAAGAATACGGGATATGTAACGCCCATATACGGGCTGCAGCAGAATTTGTGACCTTAGACGCCAACTTTTTAGACATAACGAATGAATCATCAGCTGGTCATCAGCGACAATTTTAGCGATTTTTAATAGTTGGTTGTGTGTAGTGAACTTTGTATAAACTTGATTACAATGGTAATTTGTTCAGCTGTCAAGTGTAAAAGGCGCAATGATAAGAAAGAGCCAGGAGTTACGTTTTATAGGGAAATAAACAGTCCCCTACACCTTTTTAGCGTTTTTTTTTATTGAATTCGATAATTATTTTTCTGATATTATATGTACTTGATATGTACTATACATCGATACTAGTTATGTACTTTTTGTCAACATTTTAATACGTTTTTTTCGTAATTAATTAGTATGATACCACCCGATACACCATAGACGTAGTGAAAACATATAATATCAAAAATATAAATATCCCTTCAAGCGGCAATGTTAAGTAAAATATTTGTTGGAAGCTGGAAGAATATGGCACTGTTTGGAAGAATGGTCACAGTTTGGTCTCGGGTGCTATTTGTCCTTGTATTCTTTAGTCATTGATGAATATACATTATACACCCTAACCTCACTTTTCCACTTTGAAAGCAAATGTCATTTTCGACTTTCAACATTCAAGTGTTTAAAACAGCAAAAGTTTGACAAGGACAAGATTTTGAATGTTGTGTGTTTTGCTGGTCATTAACGTGATTAACGTTTGTTATTGTTCTGCTATTAGACAAAGAATTCTTGGACTATAACACTTTAGCGGCAGAACTAGACTTGTGGCAGCAAAAATGGAAGCAGCTACCTGCAGTCGACCGACCTAAAAACGCCATCGAAACGATAATCGGAGCGTAACCAGTGTATATTTCCAAATATATACATTTTATTAATGATCTTAGCAACTCTACCAGTGTCAACAGCTACACCAGAAAGGTCTTTTTCAACCCTAATGCCGCAACCGCACATGCGGTATTCAGCGATCTCCGATCGGGGCTTCGCCGATTTCCTATGTGTGTGGATGAGGAAGTCGGAGTTCGGCGACGAGAACGAGCGCTCGTCTCTATGTTGTTGCTATCAGAGCCCGCATGTATGGATGGAAAGGCGAAGTCCGATCACGAGCGTTCCGTAGTTGACGCTCGGAGTTCGCTAAATGCCGCATGTGCGGTTGCGGCATAAGACGATTGAAGGACTTCCTACGTAACTTTACAGGTCAGGAGCGATTGACAGGACTTGCTCTATTAAGCGTACATAGAGAAATAAATATCGATATCGAAGAGGTAGTCAATCGTAGTCAATCGTTCCAGGGAAAAGACCAGTTTATCCTTTAAGATTAATAATTTTTACCTGTTACTTTTTTAAAATTTTATTTCCAATTAAGATTTGAGTGTAGCCCAAAGCGATTTTTTTATTATGCTTTTTTCCTAGCCGCTTTTGTACACCCCCCCGAAATTTTGGTCTAGATACGGCCCTGCCACTGGCATATTGATCCTACGCTTCACTGGACAAAACACATAGATATTTTGACTTCTAAATTAAACAGTAATTATGCGCGATAATACGAAGATTAAGGAACCAGTTGTCTCTGAACAACATTCGAACTCTACATCGCCACTTCACAATCCTTAATTATGTATAGCGTTATGTTTTGGGGATCTTCGGCAGCAGATCTTCAGGGCCCAAAAGAGGATGATCAGGTGTATGTTCGGCTTGCATCCGTAGGCCATATTTTGCAAAAATTCATGTCCTGGCTGTGCCCTCTTTATATTTTCTGTCCCTGGTGATGTTCGTTAAAAAGCATTCCGCCCTTTTTGCTACGAACTCGAGTCACTATGGTCCAGATATGGAACGGATTACCAGAGGGCGTGATGATCTAAGCATACCTCTGCATAGCTCGTCTTTTTTTCGGAGGAGCCCAGGCTACAGAGCGGTCAAGGCCTTTGAAATGCTCCCAGCAAATATTAGGGCTGTAGGTAGCGATTACCACTTTAGGGGGTCGGTGTTGGAATTTTTACACGCACGCGGTTTTTATAGCTTTAACTTAGAATTTTAATTATGTCCTTTGTCTGAATATTGTTAAATTTTTATTATTGTTATATTTGTGTATTTATTACTATGTTTTAATGTTCTAAGATAATGTACTCTGTAATGGGATAATATACTCTCTTCCGTGACGTTGCTTTGTGATCGGGAAGATCATTTTGTCGGCAATAAAATATTTGTATTTGTATTTGCATGCAGCATCAATGGGAGGAAGCATCGCACATTAGAACACATTGGAGAAGAATTGCAAACTTAGTTAACAGCGACAACCAAAAAGTAAAGAAGCAACAAAGCAATGAGCTTTTTGAATGCCCGGAGTGCGGAAGAGAGATAACATCACGTATCGGGCTTTTCAGTCACAGAAAAGCTCATGAAAGAAAACGCCTTGCATAACCATCTTCTGGTGCGAGTCAGATACTCGTCAGCGAGTAATGGCAGTAGCAGTAGTAGTAGATTCATTACGATGATCATTCCATACCAGAAATTGAGCAGATTGGAACGTCTCTCTCCTCGCCAGGCGCGATACACGCAATACACGTTGCGAAACTTTACGTTCAGTTTTGAAGCGAAATCAAGGAAGTGCCGAAAAACGAAAAACTGCCCGCTGTAGAGACTAGAAAAAGATTTTAATTTTTCCTGAAGTGTACTCCGGCCTGCACATCGCTTTCTTGGGTCTCGCAGTTAGCAAGATAGAAATCTAAATCTATAGCAAACAAACCTCCCGCATCCAATTGTCCGTCCAGTGTTTTACATAGTGTTTTATTTAGCACGTTAAAATCCACATCTTCCATCTTTGTCTCACATGTTCAGAAATAAACATCTAAAAATATACCTCTATTAAGGTGATTGTAACATTTAATTTATAGAGATATTTTTATTCTATTTTTTTTATTATGGGTAGGTGTAAATGCTGCTTATATATTTCAACATTTTTTTCTTTCTTTATTATTTGTTTTTTCTTTTATACTTTAATTTTGCTATTAAAAATCTAAATCCTGAATTCTTATATAAAAAAGAAACGATTTTAAGTTAGATTTGAATTATAATCGTAAAAGCCGTCGCGAAGTTAATTTATGAGCTGTCTCAAGAATTTATTAAAGCCTGCGATACGCACGAAAAGACGCAAAAAATGTACCGATAAGGGTGGACATTGATCATAAATGCGCCCAAGCGCACTACAGGAATTGAAAATAGATTGTTTTTATGTGTTTACGACGGAATAAACTTCTTCGGAGATAGTTGATTACATAAATATCGTCTTGGAGCTTCGTTAAAATAGTTAAAAGAATATTAATTAAAAATATAATAAAAAATATATAAAAAATACGTAGTAATGTTATGCAACACTAAATACACTCATCAGTGTAATCGTAGTTGCATACCATCGGATATTGTCAAAAAAAGAAAACATATGATTTTGACAGCTATTTTTTGAGAATTTTTGTGACGCATCAAAACAAAAATAATCCCAAAATTTCCTCTCAAAATCAAATTACTAGTGATTAGGTACATTTAATAAGCAAGGATTATTGCAAAGTGTGATTATATCGAACTGAAAATCAAATCGTATTAAATTTATACCGCAATAAAATTCTGGATGTAGTGGCAACTTGCCTAAACAGGGCATAGTCCTTAAAAAGTGATTTCTGAGTGTCTACAGCTTTATAAAACGGTCCAAAATGGCTTTTCCGTGGATGAATCTTCTTCTTTTCCTATCGTGTGTTTCCAGAATATTTACTAACGATAGTGACATCACACGATCAGTTTTTGGAGGGTTTACCGATGGAATGCCAGCAGCTTTTGGTGATTTTAACTCAGATGAACTCACTGACGTATTTGTTCTGTTAGGTACTGTCTTTTTTTAGTATTGTTATCTGTGTATAAACGTGTTTTATTCTAGATAATGGCACATCATTTGAAATTTTACTGGCGCACGAAGAAGAGATTTTACTAAGGCCAGCCAATCCTCGTTTGAAATGTGGGTTTAAGCATTCTCTAATAACGAGTATAGTACCTGGTGATTTTGATGGTGATGCTTTTATGGATGTAATGGTCACAACCATCTCCACTAAAGGTACCTACATAATGAAAATTTTCCGCACTATTGTAATTAATATATTTGTCTTTTATATAAAGAGGACTCAGATCGTTCTCTAACTCATGTTCATATAATATGGGGAGGGTCAAGCCCGTTAAACTGCAGTAACATACATCCTCCAGTAATAAGCATGATCGGGGAGCCACTGGCAATAGATTACAATCAGGATATGATTATAGATTTGTTTGGACAGGTCAGGGAAAATGACCGAATGGTAAGAATGTTTTGGATTTTTAACCAAAATAGAACAGCTCCTAAAGCAATTCCGATGGAGGACAATAATAGCAGGGAGGAGTTAAGAAGACCACATGCTCATGCATTTTTGGGTGAGTTTTTTAACATCATTTCACAAGTATTTTAACCTTTTCTTTTTCACACCTTGTAAATTTTCAAGAAGATAAAACAAAGCCAGAAAAATTGAGCGAATTTATATGCTCTACAGGATTTGACTTCTTTCTTAGTTGTTTATTCAATGATTTTAATATAATTTATATGTCTAGATTTAAACCATGATCTTATGGCAGATCTATTTATTACCACACCCAACCATTTTGAAGTGTGGCTTGGCAAAGAGAGTGGGCACGGCTATATTTATAACAACACAATCTTGCATCCAAATAAAGCACAGGTTATCGGCCAATCCCTCTTTATTGATGTAGAATTGAGAGGTTCTATGGACTTGGTGACTCCAGTGTGTTTTGACAAGAATTGTAACAATTGTGCTTTGATGGTACTGTACAAAAAATAGGGTAATTTTTTCAGGCTTTTTATTTTATGTTTTTTAGGTGTTTTCTGAAGGGGAATGGATCAATCTTCAAGTTAATTTCAAAGATGATTCGGGAAATAATTGGAAATTTCATCTAAAACCAGGTAAATTTTAAGTAGAATTTCTAAGCATCCGGTAATTAGTGAATGAAGTTCGGATCAAGTTAGTAAAATATTATAAAATAAATTTAATTTATTTATATAATATAATATAATAATTTTGTTTACAGGAAGTAGATATACTGATACAATTACTTTAAGAAGTGGAGATTTTAACATGGACGGATACCCAGATATTTTAGCTACTTTATCTCAAGATGGCGAACATCCTCAGGCATTTTTACTGGAAAATGTCGCTTGTCAAACAGGTTGTGACAAGTTTAAAAGGTATTAACAAACAACAAATTGTTACATGTACATTCAAAAAGAAAATCTTTCCAGATCATATGCCATCAAATGGAATGCACTAAATCCTTTTCGTAATGGCACAGCGATGGCAGCCTTTTTCGATTTTTACCAAGATGGTATCCTAGATTGTGTTCTGGTCACGTATAGCGAAGGCAAATATCAGACTGCCGCGTTCAAAAATAGTTTGGATTATGACGCAAATTTCATTAAAGTTATGGTTATTACCGGATTAACCAATAAGAATAATCAAATGATAATGGGTCGCGTAGGAAAGAAAAGAAGGACCTATGGAACTAACTTACCAGGTATATAAGCATGATACAAATAAAACAAGGTATGATCGATAACGGCTCCAATTTCGTTCAGTTTGCGCATACCACCTGTGACGTCATACGCCATACAACAAAAGATTCATATTGTTCAATTGCCATTAATAAAAAAAATTGGCGCAGGATGGCACGTATAGCTGCCCATACTAAAATATGTTAATAAAAAGTTGGTAGGCAGTTCTTTTAGTTTCAAAGTAAAGGAATTTTTCCAATTTTTTTTTATCTCAAAAACTGCGACTTTGACTGATTTTGATGTTATTACAAATTTTATTGCAAATATTATTCCTAATCTTAAATTGAAAACCGCGTTTCGCTAGCTATAGTAATTTTGGAGTTACGGTTTTTTAAATTTTTTAATAAAAAACTTGGGAATTTTGTTTAAATGCAAACCTAAAGTAGTATATACTAGGATGTATTTCAAGAAAATAGTTTAACTTCTACAGGGTGGCTCAAAAAAGTGTGAGTGGATCAGGATAATTGAATGTTTTTTTTTATATGGAACACCCCGTATATTATTTGATTTTTGGTTTCCTTTCTGACCACTTTACATAATCCTAAGATAGGTTATTTCGATAATAAATATATTTCAATAGATTCAGAGATAACAAATAAATAAAAAAATTAGATTTTTCAGTCTTTCTTATAAAATTATTAGAAATACATCAAAACTATATTAGGTATTTATTTTAGATGGTCTGTACTTACTTTGCTACAAATATCAGAATCTTAAATCATACAGGGTGTTGAAAATTCTACGCCAAACTTTCTATAATATTATTATTATTATTATTATTATTACAAAAATCAACAGTAGGCGGGTAAAACCCGATGAGACTATTGAATCACATAATCACATTTATCTATCACAGTTGTAAAAATAAACAAATAAATATTGCACTGCGTACATTCAATTAAAAAAACAAATCACAAATCAAAATTAACATCACAGTTTACGACATGTAGTGAATAAAAAGGTTGTTCCAGCTCTTCATTTCCACATCAAGTCTATTCTTAAATGTATTTACACTTGTAGCATTCACTGTATCATACTGGAGCCTGTTCCAGCTATACACTACTCTATTTGTAATAAAGTTCCGCTTTAAGAGCTTATTACAGCGTTCTTTATCCAATTTTTTGTTATGTCCGCTAAGGTTGTGCGTTTCACTGATATGGAAGATGTTCATGACGCATCCATAGTAGCCACTTGTAATCTTGAAAGTCTCGATGAGATCGCCACGAATTCTCCGTTCACGAAGAGTTGTTAGACCAAGCCTTTGCAGTCGATCCTCGTATGGCAAATTCCTCATCTCCAAAGGAATCTTAGTGATCCTCCGCTGAACACGCTCAAGCATTTCAATGTCCTTGGCATAATATGAGTTCCATATGCATTGTGCATATTCAATCTTTGGTCTAATGTATGACTTATACAATTTGAGATCATCTCGCCTGATTTGTTTGCAAATGCTGTTTTTATTAAGTAGATCATTGTATTAGCTTGTTTAACTATGCGATTTATATGGTATTCCCACTTCAGATTTTCCGCAATGTCAATGCCCAGATCTTTTTGGTGTTGCACACTTGAGACTTCTGTCTGCTCCAGATAGTATCGTTGATGTGGGTTATTAGGACCAATGTGGAAAATGGTGCATTTTGAGTTGTTCAGTGGCATTTTCCAGATATTCGTCCACGATTTAATGGTTGTTAAGTCTTCTTGGAGCAATTTTTTTTCTGTTAGAGGATTGCAGTACACATTTGTATCGTCGGCGAAGGATGTATAGTTGGTTTTAAGGGTAGGGTATAAGTCACTCGAGTAAATAATAAATAGTAGCGGGCCCAATACTGAGCCTTGTGGCACACCACTGTGAACCAAGTATTCGTCAGAAAGTGCTGATCCCACACGCACCTGGAAAGTACGGTCTCGCAAAAATGAGTTTATCAATGCCAAGATACGTCCCCTAACACCATAATGTTCCAGCTTGCATATCAAGTAATCAGTTGGGATTTTGTCAAAACCCTTCTCGAAGTCTAGGTAAATGACATCCGTGGGTTGCATGATGTCATGTGCCAAGGTCCACTGCTGAAGCCTGGATAGGAGATTGGTTGCTGTAGACCTCCGAGGAAGGAAACCATGTTGTTCAGGTGGTGTCACTTGGTTCGCCAAAAAGAAATCAGTCAGCTCCCTTGCCACCATTTTCTCCAGACACTTACAAATGACACTTGTCAAGCTAATAGGTCGATAGTTTTCGGCTAGTTGTTTATTTCCTTTCTTAATAATGGGCGTGACTATAGCCTTTTTCCAGGTCGCAGGTAGTCTTCCATCTAATAATAAGTTGTTCATCAAGAATGAAAGAGGTCCACTGAGTGAACGCTTACATCTTGACAGAAAGACAGCCGGTATACAGTCTGGTCCGGGGCTTGTATCAAGTTTCAATGAGTCGATGGCGTTCTATATTTTTTCAGGCGTGAATAAACCAGAGGTGATTTCAACTTCAGAATAGGAGCTTCTGGGGAGTGCTGGAGTGGCAGAAGTAGTCGAATCTCTTACAAAAACACTTTGGAATTGTTGTGCAAAACAGTTGGCAATTTCTTCATTGGTTTTAAGTAGGGTGTTGGTATTCTTATCTTTAAGGGTGAAAGTGGTAAGTTTTGAATTCAGGTTACGTTTGATGTATGTATAGAAATGTTTTTTCTATATAAAATAATATTTTTCTTTGTTTTTTTTTTATTAGATGGGGACTTAAAAAATGAACATTTTTTGTATTTAAAGTATTTCAAAAATTTTGACGGTTTCGCAGATATTCGCGGTTTTATATTTCATATGGCATTTTCAACAGTAAATTTTTATCAAAGCCACACAATGATTTTTCTCTTTTAGGACCTTCAGTATCTTATAAAACGACCACCCAGGATGGGAATTTGAGACACGGATTATCATCTCAGCTACCTCAATCGGCACATTTCAGTTTAAACCTACCTTATACTATTTTTGGTTTGGGAAGAACGCCAAATTTTGTTGATTCAGTCACCGTAGGACTGTCCCATAACTATAAAAATTGGACTCAAATTATTCCAAATTCTCAAATGGTATTATACCGGATAATAAAAAAAACGATGTCACAGTGGCCTTTGAATATGCCAGTTTTTAATAAATGGCATATGGGTACTATGACGCCGTTTTTTTTTCTCGATCATATGGTCTATTTTGTAACTGACATTATTTTTATTGCTCTCAGGTTGTAATACCATGGCCAGTCAATGAGCCTGGAAGATGGAAGGCTCAGCTATTTGTTACGCCCAGTAAACTCATTCTTATGTCAGTTGCTGCTTTGACAGCGGTGTGTGGTATGATCACTGTGATAATTGGAGTGTTGCATTGGAAAGAAAGACAGGAAGACAAGAAAGAAAGGTTGTCAGAAAGTCATAGGTTTCATTTTGATGCGATGTAACTGGATATTTTCAGCGTCATTGTAATTGTGATTATCTGCTAGTTTTCTTTTTTATTTATAATGTATATTATTGTACTAAATTAACCTTTTTTATTTAAGATTTTAATTTAAACCTTGTATAAATAATTTATTTAGGTATTTTATGTAATTAGGTGCATACAAAGTTACACAATAAAATAATGTTGTTTATTTATGGTCTCATATATCACAAATCAATTAAAACTACAGATTAAAAAGTTGTTTTTAATATAATGTACTTATTTCTATAGTTCTTCTCACAAAACTTTATTTCTTATTTCGACATTTGACATCTTGTATGCGTGGTAATGCTGTGGCCAGGGTTCGGAAAACTACATGTTACTTTTAAAAACTACATAAACTGCATTACATGTAGTTTATGTAGAGGATGTAGTTTATGTAACCTATGTATGTAACTTTCAAATATCAAAGGTTTGAGGTGAGGTTATAAGTTGAAGCTTTAAAAACACATAATGTATTTAAGAAAACAGAAGAAATATGGCTTTAAATATAATATTTACATTATATTATCTCTATTACACCTAATACAAAGGAAAATTATTCATAATATCAATACATAGTTTATTAACGTAGTTTTCATGTAGTTAATGAACGGGTAAAGACGTAGTTTTTGAAGAAAAACTACACGTAGTTAATCAGGTAAATTACGTCTTAAACTACTTCCGAACCCTGGCTGTGGCTCAAACTAAAAATCTAAACAGTAGATTCAAATATCTTCCGTGATATTAATAGAGAACAACGGCATACGGTCGAGTCGGCCTACAAACACGTAAACGTTTACGTACGCATGCGCATTTCTTATATTTTTTATTTTTTATACACGTAAAAGATTCTTTACGTCTACGTCCTGTGTCTACGTCTACGTGCCAGCAGCGGCCGACTCGACCGTATGCCATTGTTCTCTATTTATAGACGCTACGTACCAGGTATTAAAAATATTTGAATTTTCAAGGTATTAAAAATATTAATATTTTATTATTTAATTTATTTTAAACCTCATTTAAGCAGCATTTTAAAAAATAAGAATTGTCAAATTGAATTTAGTCCGGCTCTGTATTTACTCATACCAACTTAATTATCGGAAATGCCAAGACCAATTTTAATTTTACTTTATTGTATTACACAATATTGTGAAAAAGTTCCTGTAATAACTGTTAACTATTTACCGTTTTTAGTCTGTCCTTAATTTAGTCTAAAAATATAAAATATTCTTGTAATTCCAAATTATATTTAAAAAAAATAAGACAACATCAAATTGGCAACAATGAAGTTCATAAGGAGATGCAATGTTGCCATGTTTTGTAAACCTTCATTAGATTCAAGGATTAGATCTAAGAATTTCTTTGGTAAATGACTGAAATTAGACCATTAGACTGCTTTCAGTGTTGCCAGAACTACGGATTAATCCGTAGATTGACGGATTTCGGATATATTTACGGACGTACGGATTTTTTCCAATAATACGGATTTTCTGTTATTGAACAATTTAACATCATATTATATGATGAAAAAAGAAGCCTTGGAAATAAAGTTAGCTGTTATTTCATATGTAAAATAATATACTAAATGACTTTTATCATACAAAATATGCAGTAGGTACCCATACCCATAAAAGAATATTTGCAAATTAGAAATTTTATCTATTACCATCGATTAATCGACAATACTAATCATACAAAGACATAATAACGGCTATTTTTGCCCATCGGATCATATTTTTATAATAATAAAAAATTGTAGGTTTTGCAATACTTGTTTGTCTCATCTATTCTTGTACATGTAATACTACGTAGCTAATACGTAGATATTGAAGAGTAGTAATATTCTGTTATTTTTCAAATGTTTATATTTGATATTTATTTTATGTTTAACACGAATTACTTAATGATCAATTACTTATCGATACAGGGTCAGTCTTAATAACTACAAATATTTTCAGGGGTGGTAGATCTCGATAACATATTTTCTCTTTACCGTTTTTCAAATAAGTCCAAAATAACCGACTTATTCAAGTTTGAGAATTTGAAAAAAAAATATATTATTAAAAAATTTTGAGAGCTTTCTTTATTAATTTCTGTATTTTCGCCCCTCTTAAGTGTACGATATCAGATTTCTTGCGAAAAACCTCATAGACCTGTTCCTGGGGTCGAAATATACCAGCCCTGAAGATATTTGCACTTATTTAAAACTCACCCTGTATAAATACGGATTTTTTTATTCATCTACGGATATTTCGACTTTCGACCAACGAGATACGGATATTACATATTTTCATCTGGCAACACTGACTGCTTTGCACAATTCATACATCTGCTTTCTACACTGATGAACTGAGGAATTTTAACAATTCGAAGTCGCATGCTATCAACATTTGTTAATTCTATACAGCTTGATTAGGAATTTTTTTTTTTAAATGTCAGCCTTTAAAATTTAGCTTTACACATTCACAATTTAGTAGCGGCTTGTACAAATTAATTTTTTATTTCCAACAATATCCATTATCAAACTATTTTATAATAATTTATAAAACATTAATAAACATTTTTTCAGTTGAATATTAAAAATCTACTGATATTTAGATTTATAGCTGACAACGTTGCCTCGATGTCATCATCTGTCTTGTCAATCTTGTCATTGTCAAATTATTTATCAATTATTTTCTCGTCGCCATTACTGTGGCGAGGTCGTGTGTAGTTTTCCGGCAAAAAATCGTCGGTCTCGACGACGGGGGAGTCAATTTTCCCCGCCAACCCTTACCCCAGTTTTACCACAGTCCTACTCTGCACAACGAATACACGGAAAATAGGAATTATTTATCCGTTTTTTCTTGTTGCTGATTTGTAAACATGGCTTTTTAAAATGTCTGCTATCAAATCTCGCGTGGCCACTCCTTTTGGAGGTGCACATCATCGTCAAATCGTAGTTTTTAAGTCTGGAGGAGATGGAGAAGAAAGGAAATCGCAATACGTCAAATTCGTCCAAGGGGTCTTCAGGGGCTGATCTTAAGAAAAACCAAGGTAACGAGATCTTTTGTTCTAGTTTCGTTCATAATCTTTGAGACGAATTACTGCGCATATGCGACTTATAGCTTTGCCAAAATTTGATGCAATTCACTGCTCAGTGCCTGGATTTTGAACTTTCTTATCTTCGAATGTCGATTTCGTTGTTAAACAGAAAGTACAGCGTCAATATTTGAAATGATAATGTGTTTTAGATGTGTCCCCGGGGAAAGCCTGGCCCCGCGGTGCCAAAAGGCGCCGCGAGCCACCCTGTGGATTCTCCAAAGCTAACGAAACATGTCGTAAACCCCAACCTCAGCGCAACACTAAAGCCTCTGATAAAAGACCGAAACCTCGTGGGTATTACTACTCAGGTGACTATTTTATAATATATTTTTTAGTTTTTGTTATATTAGTCCAATTCTCAGGTGCAGTTTCTCGAATTGAGGAGACCGGCTTAGATGAATTTGACGAACCAGAATTGGGATCGGTTTTTTTACCAGGTACTTATTGCTTTCTTACTGTTTTTTTTTTGTAATATAATAAAATATCTTATTTATTATTTGCAGGCAGCAAAAAGCAAAGCCTGAATCATTTATTGAATTTTTCATTTGCTCCTAGAGAGAGTCAGGAACAAGAGAAAAGGGATGGGGATAAATCAGTTGGGAAAATGTTGGGAACTAGAAAGCATAAATATAATAAGGAACATTTTCTACAGGCAAAGTAAGTTTCTGTTTATAATACAGGTATAACCAGTGTGTTCAGTTGCATGTTGTGATGTCACGTGGATTATATTGTCAAGATAATGATTGGTCATCTTTTAATTTCCCGCCAATTTGCACGAAACTAGTGCCTCTGTTTATATTAACAACTGGTTATATTAACTTTAATAAAATTGTTCAATTCTATATGTCTCATTATATAAACAATAATACATATATTTAGCAAACAGTTGTCCACATTTTTAATCAAAATACTAATTTGAAATAAATTTTGTTCTTATATTTTCTATCTATTTATGTATTTTTTTTTTGTGTATTTTATAGTTGTCAATTTATTGTGAATGGAAAAGGTGATTACAGACAATATATGATCAATCCGGATGCTTTAGTTGATTGGAATTTTATTGAACAAGTGGTAAGTAATTTTCTCTGTTATACATTATCTTAAAGCATTTCCAAAATGTTGAGTACACATTGTCTGTTCTTTTTGGCTTTGTGAAATTTTAAATTTTGGAAAACTAAAAAGATTCTCCTGTGAGTTTTTACATGATTCATAATGTAACAAATGAATGAGGAATCTGACAATAATTATTTAACTCTTTCGTGCAACTTTGTGGTTAAAAATAGTCAGATCTTGTTGGTAAAATAGTCATGGGTAGAAACCATTCCCCTGGCGACTGCGTTTCGTAATCCCAGACTGACCAAAAAAGCGCTAAATTTATGTTTAGCATTGGCAACATTGCTTTAAATGTGCGAAACACATAACCCAACATTTTCAGATTGTTTACAGATTTATTTTAGCAAATTTTCCTCTATTATGTATAGAATTGGTAAAAAAAATAACGGAAAATAGCAAAAAGCTGATTGTTCATTGAATATTTAACAAAATGTGCCTTTAAAAGAAAACCTTAAAAATATGAGAAATTAAGAAAAATTCAATGTTGAAATAATTTTTTGTTTTTCTGAAGAAAGGTAAGGGACCGCCAGAAAAAAGTTCAGATTCGTAATCTAGGACTTCAAAATAGGGTGTATACCAATGACATCGAAATAAATTAGACCCGGCGACTTACATTTTGGCGAAATCCATCATTGCCTTAGAAAATTGCATGTATGCCAAATTTCCACTTCGACCACATTTAAAAGGAAATCTTACCTACGTATACGTACAGGGATAGCTAACCCACATTGTAAACCAGGAATTCCAAATATAGATTACGTTGTAGAATACTTTACACCGATAATAATTAAAGGTAGCCTAGTATCACGAACTATGTACTCCCAATCAGCATTAGCCGTTATTTAAATCTTCTGTAATTATAATTTTTAGATTTTAAGAAATTTAACATAAAACAATCGACAACGTCGCAACGCCAGCTGATACTGAAAACGTACGCATTTTACTATCTTTCCTCCTAAATTCAGGCAGCCAACAAAACATCCAGTTCGAATTCGTTCATAAATTGCTTTACGGCGTTGCCAATGTGTTGTGGTTTTTCGAAATGTTTTATGAGGTGATTTCCAGATATTTTAGTGTTTTGTGGTATTATTTTTAGTGATTTTATTCAGAAACAATAAGACAATGGTGCGAACTTGCTTAATTTGCAAAAATAGAGACGATTTAAACCTAGTTTGATTTCGAAGGTGAGTAAGGCTATGTTACATCAGTGCGGTGCCGAAAGGTAAAATAGGAAAAAATCTTTGAAAATATTAGTAAATCACACAGTTTTGGAATGTACCGTTATAAGTACTGAACCATTACATTAAGTTAGTTTCGTCACGTTTGGTTTTATTGAATATCTTGATCATAATATTTAAATATTATCAAAACCAAGTATACAAATGCGAATATTAATTTGTTGAAAAAATATATAAAAAAATTAAAGATGTCACAATTACGAAAAATGTTCAATAGTGATTACCATATGATCGAAAAAAAACGGCGTGTATGAGGAATGTCATCGATGTTCATTTCTAAGCCAACTGGACGCCTTTTTTTCGATCATACTGATTGTTATTAGGATTTTTAGTTATTAAAGATGATTTTTTAAGTGTAAAATCAAAATAGATTTATATAATGGATATTACATACTAAATACCGTATGATCGAAAAAAAAACGGCGTCAAAGACTGCTGGGAATAACAATCGAATATAATTTTGGCGAGGTCTATTTCTAGATGTCATTTATTAAAAATTGACATAAAACTTGTCAAAAACTAATACTGATTATAGAAAAATTATAAAACGATAGAACGTTTCCAGAAACACAAATCGATATCCAAAAAAAAAATTTCGAATTTATATTACACCATTTAAAAATCAAATACAACCTTAAGGCGTACTACTGCCAGTAAGTGTCATTAAAAAAAAACAAGAGTAGGGGTCATGACATATCACCTTGCCAAAATTATCACCGATTGTCATTTTTGACGCCGTTTTTTTTGATAGTATAATTTTTGTGGTAATAGAGGAATGTATTTTTTGTTTTGTTTATTAAGACTAAAAAAATTATATAGTTTAAAAGATGAATGCGTCTTTGTTTGATATGTTTTATTGAATAGTCAATTATTTATTCAGTACAAGGTCCCGATTATCCGCGAAGAAACTGATCCCGAAATAAGTAAATATTTTAGAAATTTTCTTTTGTTTAACAAAGATCTTTATTATTGTTGTTATAAATAGTAATATTTTTATACCTAATATTAAATTGCAATTCGTCACGACAGTTTTAAAATATTCTCATTTTTCACCGTTGCTTCAATCAAAATAATACCATTAATTCACATAAATGTTTTATAAAAGTCGTCTTCGGCTCGTATTCATTGAACGCTTGATGGATTATATTACTACTGGAGCAATTTACAGACATTACTATGGAAATGTGCATATCATAATTTCAATTAGTTATTTTCGCGTATAGAAGTGATTGGAGTATAGAAGTAGTCATTTTCAAAATTTGAAGAGCCATCTAGCACAACAATATATCGTATCCAAAAATCATATTCACGAGAATATAATATTATAAATTATATATTACAAAGTAACTACGCCACTGGCACACATTCTCAAGATCTCTGAACAGCGTTGCCATTCTCTCGGGAATCCTTCATGACTGCGATCAGCCCGTCTTGTTCCCACTCGAATAGAACAAGAAACGAATGTCTGATTCTGATCTTTTTCTTTTTATGAATGAAATGCCGTGTCTACTTTATTTAGAGGTCATTGGTGTATACCAATTTTTGTGCATATCGGACGATTTCCAGTTTTTCCAATAATTACCATATAATTTTTTATAAATTTCTACTGTCAGATTATCTTCTTTCTTTGGTTCTTTTGATATAATCAGAAAAACATAGTATGATAGAAAATAAAACTGCGTCACAGTAGCTATATCTGTAAATGCTGGTGGAATATTGAATTAATTTGTCGTTGATTGTGGTATGAACTTGTCCTGGTAGATAAATGCCGTCCAACAGCGGCATACTGTAATAATTTGAACGTCAAATACTGTACCCATAAAAGCTTAAAGGGGTAGCGATGGGCATTACTATTCTTTTTAGTTAAATATTCATTCGTGACAAGTTTTTGGTATAAATAGGGGTGCGCCTGACAGAATTTTTACCGACTTGTCATTTCAAAGGCCACTATGAGGCCTTTTGTGTTTCATTTTACAGCTATTTTGACAAATCTTGCAATTTGCAATAAATGGATATTATCATGAGTTATTATTATGAAACTTTTTCAGTAACTCAATGCAATAATGTCAAGTTTTTTCCTCGACTTTATAGAATGTGCAAGTTAATGAGGAGCCTTCTTGTCCCATTTGTCTATATCCACCAGTGGCAGCTAAAATGACAAAATGCGGCCATATCTACTGTTGGTCCTGCATCTTGCATTATTTAGCTCTCTCGGACAAGGATTGGAGGAAGTGCCCTATCTGCTATGATGCTGTAAAGAAGGGAGACCTCAAAAGGTAAATATTTGCCAATAATTGGATTTATTCACATTTATTTTATTCAATAACAAATCAGTCAGCGTGTTATACGAGGTACCTGTACTAGACAAACCAACTTTCTTATTGTATGTTTTTTATTTCATTTCCCTATCTGAACTCCTCTTATATCTGGTATTTGTCTATTGCGCAGTAACAGTGACAAATGTCAACGTCATTTAATTTATTTATTTTTTATTTTTTTTATTTAAAAGTATATTATAAATATAAATATATAAATTTTCTGACATTTTTTCAATGATGTTTTCAATGACAGACTTTGCTAACAATATATTATGATCAATCCAGATTCTTTAGTTGATTGGAGTTTTATTTGAGATTTTCTCTAAATTGTATACAGATTATTTTATAAGCATTTCCAAAATGTTGAGTACACATTACCTGTTCTTTTTGGCTTTGTGAAATTTTGATTTTTGGAAAATTAAAAAGATTCTCCTGTGTGTTTTTTACATAATCAAAAATGTAACAAATGAATAAGGAATCTGACAATATATTATTGAATTATGTAATTTATTTTTATTTTCATAAAAATAATATCTAAGTATAATTCATATTTCATTTAGAAAAAACGTGAAAAGTTCCAGACATTACATATTATACCATTCTGGACAGTTCATCTGCGTGGTCTGTATTATAATGCATGCGACAGAGATAAATATAAATGACCGGTTGACAGAGAGAGAGACAAAATCAAAAGCGGCATACAGTGTTGCCGGTTTTTACGTGTGTAGGAAAAAATTAACCTATTTTAAAAACTTTCATGTATACAACTGAAATGAAAATAATATGTCTAAACTAAATATAATCTATTACAGCTGTAGTAAAATGAGTAACTAATTGTGAAAAATAAAGTTCCAACCCTAGATGCAACATTTTTCGTAAACGCCTACTTGTGCACTTTGAAATTTTGATGCAAAATCCGGCAATATCGTATAGAAGAAATGTATCAGCCCAACTTTTATGTCTTTTTAATACATCTGATTTTTCATTAAGCTGCCTACATCACTGTCTTACACGTTAAAATCCAGACCACACTTCTAAAATGACCAAATCGTTATATCATGATACATATCACGATATACCGATTTGGTAAATGATTTGGTCATTTTAGAAGTGTGGTTTGGATTTCAACGTGTAAGACAGATAATATAAATGACCTATTGACAGACAGAGAGGCAAAATCAAAAGCGGCATACAGTGTTGCCGGTTTTTACGTTTGTAGTAAAATTTGTGTAAAAACCTATTTTAAAAACTTTCATGTACCTATACTACTGAAATGAAGATAATATATCTAAGCTTAATGTAATCTATTAACCCTGTAGTAAAATAAGTAACTAATTGTGAAAAATAAAGTTCCAACCCTATGCCAGGTCCAGACCAAGGCGACAAAGAGTAAACACGATTTTGAGACAAAAACAAGACAAACTTGCGACAAAAAAGGGGAATTCTGACAAGACAAACTTGAAACAAATTGTCCACACCAAGGACAAAAGTACATCAAAGTCAAAAGTTTAGTTGTTTCGAATGAATTTTATTAACTATGTGTGATTTCACTGGTCTCCTACTGTTGGCAGCACACACCATCCACACTGCGCCGACAACTTGTCGTAAAATATACCAACAAAACATAAACACTTTGATCTTTACCGACTCGAGACGGGACATTGAAAAGTCTCCTAATTTTGAAACAAAACAAAATTGAGACAAAAATGTTGCAGAAATGTATTGGATTTGTCGCAATTTTGTCGTAAAACATGAATGTTTCTGTCTTGTCGTTGTTTTGTCTGCTTGGTCTGGACCCGGCACTAGATGCAACATTTTTTGTTAACGCCTACTTGTGCGGTTTGAAATTTTAATGCAAAATCGGTCAATATCGCATAGAAGAAATTTTTATCTTCCAACTTTTATCTCTTTTTAATACATTTTATTTGTCATTCAGCTGTCTATACCGTGCTGGCAACTGTTACTTTTGGGTCGGCATTTACATGTGTGGAAGTAAATCGCATAGGGATCTTATTAAGTCGGAGTGAGAGAAATGCGACCGACCGACGCGACGCGCGACGGTGTGCTGTTGCGGCGTTGCCGATACGCCTTTCCCTGTCAAGTAAAGTAAACTCACGAACGCAAAACGCTTATTTTTAAAAGACTTTTTTTTCAAGAGATAACTAGATAAAATCATTAGGTTTGGGTATACCTAGGTTTGTAATGTTTCTGAGCATCTGAAATGGAATTGTAAGGATATCGTTAGGGTGTCATTTTTTTTATAACGAGAAAACGCCAGTAATAGCGATAATTTATAAACTCAACTTTTTAACACATAACAGGCCATAACTCAAGAACCACTTTAGATATTGAAACTTTTTTTATTTTCAAGATCGGATATTTTACAATATGTTTACATAAGAAAAATTCGATAAGGTTGTTTTTTCCATTCAAAAATTGTAAACAATCCATCCATTTACTTTTAGAGCATAGCAATTTTCAGCAATCATGTAATTTTTTTATTGATAAAAATTTTCACATACTGTCTACAAAGAAAATACAGCAGAAGTATTAACAAAGTTCTTGAAAAAACTACAATCTATTATTTCTAATAGATTTCGAGATATCGATTTTTGAATTCAGAGTTCTAATAGCGCGACCACTATCGAACACCCACTCAATTCCACTTATTTTTACCAAAAATGCAAGTGTTTCTAGCTTGCACTTAAAAATTTCCAAGCTATAGGGAAAATTACAACGACTCGATAGTAAGTAAACAAATAAAGTATCACGAGACATAATTAAATCGTGAAGCTGAACGCATGATGTAGTACACCTTTCCCTAGAACTTTAAGTACTGACAGAGGTATTGATTGGGTCGACCGGTCAACTGCGACAAATCTGCTATATCCCCTTCCTCTTAGCGATGTGGATGTGCACAGTTTCTCGGTTTATTTCATACGTTTGGCAACGTGTTTACTGTCCTCTCTTTGTTCAGTACATTATAAACGCATTATATTCTTCATACATACGAAAATCTCGACCCAAGACTAACCTTTGCCAGCCCTTAGTATACTGTCTTACACGTTAAAATCCAGACCACACAGTTTCGATGACCAGATCGTTATACATTCCATTACATATTTTTAAATTTCTACATAGCGTTACTGTAACTTCGCACAAGACCTTCAACATCGACAACACTATAACATTCAAACTTATGAAGAGACGAAGAGGCAGTTTGATCGCCTATCCGGCAGACAGTGAAATGCGCGATAGCAACAACATTTTTAACATGTCGGACAGTGGTATCTTTGGATGTCATTCGAAATTATTGTTGGCCAATACTCAAAATATCTTGGATATTATTGATAAGGAAGCGACAGAATTGGAAGTGCAAACCGTTCAAGATGAAGATTGTCCAGAGAAGTGTTTTATCGACGAAGCTGTCCAGTTGTTGGAAGCTAGAAGACAGCTGGTGTTGAGTGATGATTCCCATCAACTAAATCAAGAAAAGAATCAACAAACTGATAGTAATGAAAATGTTTCCGAACAACATGCTGTAGAAAATGGTGAAAATGGAGATTCTGCTACAAAGTTTCATTATTTTTATCAAGGTAAGATTTCTGATTGAGTTTTCGGGATGATCATTTTAAAAATTGATTTTTCTTAAGCCTCTGATGGTCAGCATATCTATTTGCACGCCATCAACGCAAAAATGCTGGAACACACTTATGGTTCTTTGGAGTTTGGGCCTAAAACTATAACAGGTAATTATATAAAGATTTTAATTTTAGAATTTATGCTTGTTTGGTATGATCTATATTTGGAATTTTGACAGTGACCGATGTCCGTCAATAAAATGATAACCCCTAGTATCAAATTACAATGACAGTTACTAAAAACAATGTGCAATTTACGAAATGCTGTAATGACGTCACCAATCTCTTTCATCTGGTTGTTAAGTGAAAGATAGTTCGACAGTATATGACGTGACGTTGAATGATCACTGAACAAGCTATATCTGTATTATTAATGTTTTATTTTTCAACGATCGTCAGAATTATTTTTATTAACCTTTTTATCCCTTTCTAATAAAAGTGCCTTTTTACTAATTCCATTATTACATAAAAAAATATACACTCTTTTTTTAATTCTATTAGTACAAAAGTTGGAATGATTTTTCGTTATATGGGTTTTAATATTTTTATTTCGATAGGCAAGATATTAGAAAAAGAAGGAGGGTCTATGACAGAGGAGCTTCGCAGGAGATTGAGATATCTGCAACATCTGCCTGTCACTTGTCAATTTGAAATAGCTGAAATTCGCCTGCGTCAACCAATTGTCAGCAAGGAGACTTTGAATCATTTCAAAGGTAATTTAGTTCAAAGACTACTTTGAAAAAAAAATGCAGATAGTAATATTATATTCTAAGTTGTGATAATATTTTGAGATATGTTGGATCTCTTAAAGGATAAATAATACATTGATAGTGGTATTAGAATTCCGATTCCTTTTTTTCGATTTTTCTCTTTTAAAGTTTAATGTCCCCGGATTGTCTTTACAAGAGGAAAAAAACTTGTTCTAAAATGGTTAATCCCGTTTATACTTTTCCAAATTTCCAGAGCGTTTTACAGGAAAATACAAAAATATGAAAATATAGTTAAACTCTCAAATTAAAACGCGTTTCTATGGTAATATGATTTCGTTTTCATCCTTTGTTGGATGGTTAGTATTAATTTTGATTAACGTAATATATTTTCCTATTCAGCACCTTCAATCTTATTTGAGCACAAAATTATAATTAGTGATTGTAACCTTTCCAATCAATTACTTAAATTTAGTGCTAAATTAAAAGGAAGTTTAATTAACCTTGATATATAATTTATTATATTAAGGTCAGTCTACTTTCTACATCTGCTATTAAAATTATATGTCTTTCTTATGCTAAAAATTTTCTACCACCATTATATATACATGTGCTGTTTTAAGGTTCGGGGTTACCAAACAACGATAACCCAAAAGACCATAGATTTTTCTTTAATATATATGCTTGTATTCTAACCATATTTATCTTTACAGAACAAGTGGATGCGAGGATCAAGAAACGCCAACGTCGAGCTCGAGAAGAGAAGAAACGCGAAATCCGCATCGAAGTCGAAGAAAATCGGAAACTAGGGCGCTACGAAGCCCCAGAGCTTCATCTGGAGAACCATTCCCAATTTCCGGACGTGCGGGAGGCCCATTATATGTTTCCGGACTTTATATCCGCTTCCAGACCCCGGTCGGAATCGGAAACTGCTTCAAACGTTCCAGAGGAAGAAAGTGTGAACTTGGAAAATACTTCATTAACCAGCGTATCTCTGGATAGCAGTTATTCTGGACCATCTTTTGCTTCGGTGAGTAATATTGTGTTAAATTGTTTTTTCTATACAGGGTGGTCCGAACAGTATTCTGGAAACTTCGGCAGCATATTCTGTATATAAAAATAAGTAAAAAAGTTCGTATAAATGTATGTCCTAAAATGCTTAGTTTCAGACATACAGGATGGAGAAGTTTCATTTTAATTTCGATTTTTTCCCAAATGATTTCCCGAAAATTGTGTCTGGAAGTTTTTTGAGAGAAATTTGATTTTGATGTCAATATGACTTCTACTTCTAGACGGCGCCACCTACATATTTTTAACTGGTTGGAAGAGTAATAACTTTTCGTCCTTACCTGTATAAAACTACTGAGTAAAAAAAATATACATTTACGATTTTATTATGTGAAAAATGTCTCTTGGTAAAAATCGTTACGACCAATGGTTCTCAAGATATTTTGAATCGAAATTATCAATATCTGTCATCATTGACATAAATTAAACATGTTGATTAAATAGTTATCAGACTGAAATCATAAATTTGAAATGTTTTTGTGCCAAAAGTTCAACAGAAACTGTTTTATCGCCATTTTTTTCAAAGAAAAATTTATGATTAATTAAAAGAAAAAGAAAAAGTTTCCAAATCTACCATTTCATTTTAATAATTATCCACTCAACACGTTTATTTTTTGTCAATAATGACATGTAATGCCTATTTCCATTCTAAATATCTTGAGAACAGTCACTCGTAGCGATTGATACCAAGAGACATTTTTTACGTAAAAAATCAGGGAAATGTATATTTTTTCACTCAGTAGTTTTATACAGGTATGGACGAAAAGTTATTACAGTTCAAACTAATTAAAAAATCTGTAGGTGGCGCCCTCTACAAATAGGAGTAATATTGACATCAAAATCAAATTTCTCATGTCAAAAAACTCCCAGATATCAATTTTCATCAAAATATTGGCGGACCTTCAGAAATTATTTGGAAAAATCGAAATAAAAATGAAATTTCTACACCCTGTATCTCCGAAACTAAGCATTTTAGGACGTACTTTTATACAAACTTTTTACTTATTTTTATCTGCAGAATATGCTGCCGAAGTTACCGGAATACAGTTCGGACCACCCTGTATATCAATAAATAATATCAGATATGATCTATCTATGTGTTACATAAAAAGGTAATCAGTATTTTTCTAAATGGCCTAATAAATTGTAACAAGTAAATATGTAGGATGTAGATAGGTATATTCATATCGGCACTAAATTCTTATTAGTGAATGTGATACTTGATGATCATTTACTGATATTTGGTGCTAAATAAATTGGAAGAATAATTAACCTTGATGTACAATAAATTATATTAAGGTCAGTCTCCTTTCTACATTTCATTTTACATACTTAAGCCTTATTCAGAACCTCGAAATTAGTGGTTTCAACTATACTTTATACTTATGAATTTTCGTTCATTTACAAAAAAAAATCCAGTGAAAATTAATAGAATTTCCTAGCAACCATAGACTTAAAATAAAATATAGACTACACTATTTACATCTCAACGCGGACAAACAACCTTTTTTGCACACATGTTTACTTCTGGGTACAGTCGACCGAGCCTTCCTCATCCAGCCTATGTTGTCACGTCTTTAATATTATCAATATTTTTTTTCTTGTTATACACATATATTGAGATATTAATACTACAGTTTAATAAAGTAGGTTTTAATATTCCATAGATGTATTAAATATAGTCTACTAAATTATAAGTCGGATACTGTTTAATAAGGATAAGTCCTTTACAATATGACAACACCGATTAGAGGCGAGGGAGCCTATTCATTCATTTATTACCTTGTAGTACGTGTCGCACGTGTGTGGTAAACCTTTGTTGCCGCTATCTCCCCGGCTGTATTAACGCATTTTCTTAGCTTGTAGTCCTTAAGTGTTTATTTTATTGACTTTTTCTGTTCAAAAACTATAAAACATGGTTCGCCAGTGCCAAATTTGCAAGAAATTTGACTTAAATAATCCAATTAAGTCTTGAAACGACTTTCGACCGGTAGGCAACTCTCAATTTACCCATTAGGTGTCAGTGGCGTTGTTGTAGAAAGGCGCTTATTTAGATAATATTTTAGTAAAATGTAAAATCTGAATTTTTTCTCTTACATTACAATATTGACTTACTTACATTGTAACAAAACCATAATTATAACCCTGTTAATAATTAATAATGTTTTTATTAAAAATATATTCCGGTTTATTCTAAAATTATCTTCAGAATCTAAAATAACATACAAGAATTTTAAAATGATATTACATTATGAAACAATATTTTTTAATATACCGGGTCGTCTCAAAAATGGCTCACCCCTATAACTTTTTTATTTTTTCAGATACAAAAAAAACTTGTATGTTAGTAGGTATATGACATAAATTAGGATTTATTGACGTATTCAATTGTTTTTGGTCTCTTCCTGTTTCACCGAAATGATTACATCTTTTGATTTTTAAAGGCACCCTCGGTATATTGCTACTTTATTCAATAAAAAATGACACTCTGAATAGAATGACTATCATATGTCAACTTTTGACATTGTCGCTTAAAAACAAATCGTATTTTAAATTTCAATCTAGGGTGCCATGGTGTTGTTAAAAACACTAAGTTTTAATCAAGGAGCCTTGGAAAAATAGTTTTGATCGTCTAATGGGTTTCGTGTCTTGTTTAAGCCGATTAAAAGATGTACAAATCGTAGTTTTAATCATACATATGTCAATTTTTTCAAATGAAACAAGGGAGACTCATTAGCATATTTGGAAAAATCATTTTTTTATGAATATATTGATACCACACACTTTGGTATTTCGAGTCAAATTGTCGTTATGAACCGCGTGTTACAATTACAATAAAACCATATGCGAAAATGTCAAAAGTTGACATATTATGCTATGTCACTCTATTCAGAAATCAATATTATTATTAAAAATTAAATTGTTATCATTTTCTATCGAATAAAGTAGAAATATACCGAGGGTACAGTTTAAAAATTAAAAGTTATATTCATTTCCGGTGAAACAGGAAGTGACCAAAAACAATTGAATGCGTCAATCAATCCTAATTTATGTCATATACTAACATAACATAACTATTTGAAAATATAAAAAAAAATTGAGGATGAGCCACTTTTGGAACGCACCCGCTATAATAAAGACAGTACCGTGTTAAATAAATGTAGTTTTCATATTATCCACTTCCTATCACCTTCCTTGCTTTAATGGAACAGATTTATGTTTTCTCTAATTTACATAATAAGACGTCACTTAACCAGAAAAAAATTACAAAAATCATATTTTTTTTTCTCTCCCTGTCGCCGATTCTATTATATCTGTGAAATAGATCCTGTTTTGATTAATATTAGGGGTTGTACATGTTTGACTAAAATTAATAATTTATTATTAATTTCAAAAATTACAATAATTTCGTTAATAAAATTTCTTCTATAACGTGTATTTTATTATTTTTATCCTTTTTGGACTCTAAGACGTTTTTTTAAACTTTTATTCCAAAAACCCTGTCCTAAATCTTAATAAAATATAAAAAAGTTTAAATACGATATATTTTTAATTTAATTATAGCTTCATTAAAATAAAAAAGTTACCCGGCTATGATACGGAGAGTTCAGGTGTACTTGAGAAACGAAAGACAGTGTTGTGTTTCTCGGCAGAGTCGTCAGGGAACGACCGTTATGACAGAGACAACCTATCTATCGCTCGTGTCGCACTCGTTATAACCTAAAACAATAACACAACAATAACAAGACGTTGTCTGACCGCATGATCCAGCTATTTATGAATGAGATGCTCAGTCTATATTTTATTTTAAGTCTATGCTAGCAACAGATTGCGTTAGTCAGTTGTATCCATAGAGGAAGCCTAATATTTAGCTTATAAAACTTTGAATAAAAAGATTAAGGAATGAGCACATCAAAAATCTTAGATCCACCGCGATGGGACTCAAATATGGCCGACTTAAATTCCGGTTTATCAGTGCCGTTCTAATTTTAATTAAAAAGTGTAGAACTATGATGTAGGGTAGACGTGGGGTAGACTCAATAATTTGTTGTTTTATTTTACGTTGTGAATAAATGTTGGTAATTATTAAAATTGTTATAAAAATATGTAATTCTAATAAAAATAGATAAGTTATAATAATTATTTATTAACACAAACATCCGATACGCTACTGAAGCAGGTGAGTCAAATTGGCGTATCTAAGTTCTTTGACATCTAATCTTTGAACAGTAGTAAATAAAACCAAAATGCAAGAAAAAATATATAATTAGTTAATTTAAGTGAATTTCATAAATGATTAGTTTACTACACGTATGTATATTATATAGTCACTTACTAGCGGAAAGTTATTCCATTATTTCACTCGATTTTTGACCGATATCTACCGCACTCTACACAACCAACTACTTTACAGTCTTACTAAACCAGTGTCGTTGTTAATTTAAGTTCTGCCACACTTTCCATCTAGATTTACTACCTTTATACAACTATCAGTAGTAGAATAAATAATAAATAAGATAAAATAAGCTCAGTAAAGGTTGACAAATCCACAAAATTTCAAATCAAATTCAAATGTGTCAAATGAATCGTCAAACAGAGCTGTCAAAGATCCCCACCCTAGAGCCTTTTTTTCACCCACCATGCATGAATACATGGATAACATTATACTCCTTTAATCTTTTTATTCAAAGTTATAAAACAATCAACTTTTGCTTTCTAACCACAATTTCTCTTGACGGAAGATAATCAAAGACGGAAAATAATCCAAACCAAACCAAAACAACATTTCTCGCAAACTTTGAAGTATAATTAGTGGAAAAGTTGAAGGTTTGATAACTTTTTCTACTAATTGAAAATGTCTATCACTCATTTTGATGTTCTGAATGCTTACAGTGAAAGTAAAAGAACAAACTTCTATGCTAATTAAAACCACTAATTTATTCCACTAATTGCGAGGTTCTGAATGAAGTTTTAGTTTTTAAAGGAAAAAATATATGAAAATACAAACGTTCCCTTCGTTTTTTCCAAATAGATGTTGGCAGCCGAAAAGAAATCCTCTTGGCCCGTTCTAAAATCGTCACCTCAATCGTCGTCCACTCCATCGAAATGGATCAACGTCACAGGCTCGAAGGCGGGTTCGTCTTTTAAACCGACCAATAGGAACGCAGACGACGACGTCGTCGAATCGGAATACTTCGAACCTGTACATACCTTCAACAGGAGCTTCGGGGATGCCCTGGCCGAGGCGCTAGCAACCGCCAGTTTGGAGGATAATGGTAAAGATACTGGTAAGAACATAACCTTGATTAGTAAGTCTTGAATCTGTGGTAGAAGTATTTCATAGAAATCCGTTATGAATTATTTAAAGTTTGTCCAAACTAAGCTAGCTCCAAACCAAATCAAACCGAACTTATTGTAGGCTAAACAAACCTACTTAAAGTTAAGAGAACCGGAACGCGCACAATCGTTAATTTCGGATCGTACTTGTAGTTTTCTAACCACTGTTGCCAAGTTAGCGGTTTTCCCTCTAAATCTAGACATACAGGTGAAGTACAAAAAGTCATTTTTACTCCAAATAGAACATGCTATTTTTTTTTCAAACGCCGCAAATAAGTTTTTAAACAATTTGAAACGTTCCAAATAATATAAAAAGATTTAAAAGTTGTACCTTGTAAGTAATTATACAGGGTCGCTGTTATGTATGGAACCGGTCGATTATTAGGTAAAATATAGGAGTACCGCAAAAAATTATATACAAAAGTTATAGAATTTTTATCTATTAGCAAGTCTTAAATTTAAGTATACAGGGTCGGTCACAAATTCGTAGCACATAAAAGTTTCATTTTTTAAAATAAAACCCCCTGTATATTATTGCATATTTTAATTCTTCCTTCAATTCTAAGCAAAAAATCGACACAATGTATCTCAAACCAACCGTTTCCGAGTTATTGACTTTTGAACATATCACTTGAACCATAGACTTAAAATAAAATATAGACTGAGCATCTCATTCATAAATAGCTGGAACATGCGGTCAGACACTGTCTTGTTATTGTTGTGTTATTGTTTTAGGTATTAAGAGTGCGACACGAGCGATAGATAGGTTGTCTCTGTCGTAACGGTCGTTCCCTGACGACTCTGCCGAGAAACACAACACTGTCTTTCGTTTCTCAAGTACACCTGAACTGTCCGTATCATAGCCGGGTAATTTTTTTATTTTAATGAAGCTATAATTAAATTAAAAATATATCGTATTTAAACTTTTTTATATTTTATTAAGATTTAGGACAGGTTTTTTAAACAATTTAGAGTCCAAAAAGGATAAAAATAATAAAATACACGTTATAGAAGAAATTTTATAATCGAAATTACGTAATTTTTGAAATTAATAATAAATTATTAATTTTAGTCAAACATTTACAACCCCTAATATTAATCAAAACAGGATCTATTCCACAGATATAATAGAATCGGCGACAGGGAAAGAAAAAAAAATATGATTTTTGTAATTTTTTTTCTGGTTAAGTGATGTCTTATTATGTAAATTGGAGAAAAAATCTGTTCCATTAAAGCAAGGAAGGTGATAGGAAGTGGATAAAATAAAAACTACATTTATTTAACTCGGTACTGTCTTTATTATACCGGGTGCGTCCCAAAAGTGGCTCATCACCATAGTTTTTTTATATTTTCAAATAAAAAAACAAGATTTAGTATGTTAGTATATGAAATAAATTAGGATTGATTGACGCATTCAATTGTTTTTGGTCACTTCCTGTTTCACCGGAAATGACTATAACTTTTAATTTTTAAACGGCACCCTCGGTATATTTCTATTTTATTCGATACAAAATAACACTCTGAATAGAATGACATATCATATGTCAACTTTTGACATTTTCGCATATGATTTAATTGTAATTGTAACACGCGGTTCATAACAATTTGACTCCAAATACCAAGTGTGTGGTATCGATATATTCATAAAAAAATGCTTTTTCCAAATATGCTAATGAGTCACCCTTGTTCCATTTGAAAAAATTGACATATGTATGATTAAAAATACGATTTGTACATCTTTTAACCGGCCTATACAAGACACGAAACCTATGATTAAAACTTAGTGTTTTTAACACCATGGCACCCTGGATTGAAATTTAAAATATGATTTGTTTTTAAGCGACAATGTCAAAAGTTGGCATATGATATGTCATTCTATTCAGAGTGTCATATTTTATCGAATAAAGTAGCAATATACCGAGGGTGCCTTTAATCAAAAGATGTAATTATTTCGGTGAAAAAGGAAGAGACCTAAAACAATTGAATACGTCAATAAATCCTAATTTATGTCATATACCTACTAACATCCAAATGTTTTTTTGTTATCTGAAAAAATAAAAAAGTTATAGGGGTGAGCCACTTTTGAGACGACCCGGTATATTAAAAAATATTTTTTCATAATGTAATATCATTTTAAAATTCTTGTACAGTGCGTCTGTCCGTTCTGTAGCTACGGGGTATCCGTGAGAGGGGAAACGATATTTTCTCGATGTTTTTCGTAAAAAATTAGAGGACGCGTCCCATCAATAAAAATTCGACAAACTTGCAAGTAGCCAATAAAATGAGTGGGCGGAGCGATTTGCGGCGTTGTACTCGTCAAGTCGACCTATAAAATATATTGCTGTTTATTTAAATGTTTTTTGTCCACATTCCTTTCATAGACACAGATCCAGCAGACGCCACTTTATGTTATTTTAGATTCTGAAGATAATTTTAGAATAAACCGGAATATATTTTTAATAAAAACATTATTAATTATTAACAGGGTTATAATTATGATTTTGTTACAATGTAAGTAAGTAAATAATGTAATGTAAGAGAAAAAATTCAGATTTTACATTTTACTAAAATATTATCTAAATAAGCGCCTTTCTACAACAACGCCACTGACTCCTAATGGGTAAATTGAGAGTTGCCTACCGGTCGAAAGTCGTTTCAAGACTTAAATGGATTATTTAAGTCAAATTTCTTGCAAATTTGGCACTGACGAACCATATTTTATAGTTCTTGAACAGAAAAAGTCAATAAAATAAACACTTAAGGACTACAAGCTAAGAAAATGCGTTAATACAGCCGGGGACATAGTGGCAACAAAGCTTTACCGCACACGTGCGACGCGTACTACAAGGTAATAAATGAATGAATAGGCTCCCTCGCCACTAATCGGTGTTGTCATATTGTAAAGAACTTTCCTTTTAAACAGTATCCGACTTATAATTTAGTAGTATAAGGACTATTTAATACATCTATGGAATATTAAAACCTACTTTATTAAACTGTAGTATTAATATCTCAATATATGTGTGTAACAAGAAAAAAAATATTGATAATATTAAAGACGTGACAACATAGGCTGGATGAGGAAGGCTCGGTTGACTGTACCCAGAAGTAAACATGTATACAAAAAAGATTGTTTGACCGCGTTGAGATGTAAATAGTGTAGTCTATATTTTATTTTAAGTCTATGACTTGAACAGTTTGATTTAATTAATTTCTATATGTTCAGTTTCATTTAACGATACCATTCTGCCGAAACTGTGATACTGATATAATGGTTTTTTAAATGCCTACTAGCTACTAGTAAATTTAAGTATACAGGGTCGGTCATAAAGTTGTGGCACATCAAACTTTATTCTTTTTTTAATGAAACCTCCTGGTATATTATTGCATATTTCAATTCTTCCTTCAATTTTAAGCAATAATTGTAATACACGATATACATAAATTGAAGAATTGATATGTTAAACGAAAATTTTGTGATTTCCAAACTTCATATAATCTCATTGGGACCTAATGTCAAATGTTATTAAGTATCACAGTTCCGGCAGAATGACATCGTTAAATGAAACTGAACATCTCGAAATTAATTAAATAAAATTGTTTAAGTGATATTTTCGGAATCAATAACTCGGAAACGGTTGGTTTGAGGTACATTGTGTGTATTTCGGTTTTTGCTTAGAATTGAAGGAAGAATTGAAATATGCAGTAATATACAGAGGGTTCTATTTAAAAAATGAAACTTTTATGTGCCACTACTTTATGACTGACCCTGTATACTTAAATTTATGACTCGCTAATAGATATTTAAAAATCCTATAACCTTTGTATTTAACTTTTTACGGTACCTCCTATAGTTTACCTAATAATCGACCGTTTCTATACATAACAGCGACCCTGTATATCGAGAAACTATGGTTACGCTCGTTGAATTTGACACTTTATGTCAGTTTAATAATATATTCTCGTACTTTCATGCCTGGCCTAGGCGTTAAAATGACTTTTTTATATTGTCAATCATGTCGCAAAAATTAATACTTTTGTGATGTTTGAAAAAAAGTATGTTTTGATAGCGGCTTAAATTTTTGAATATAAATAAATAAAAACAAATCTAAATAAGGGTTTTTAGAAAATTTGCACCAATAATTGCGTAATTATTGTCATACGTAAGGGGAAAACAGATTATGTCACAAAACCGACTTCCAGAGAAAACAATTTAATATTGCCAAATATAATTTTAAAGTTACTAAACTTTGAAAAAGAAGACTAAGGAAGGAGCATAATGCTATCCATGTATTTATGCATGGTGGGCGGAAAAAGGACTCTAAAGTGGGGATCCTTGACAGTTCTGTTTGACGATTCATTTGACACATTTGAACATGATTTGAAATTTTGTGGATTTTTCAATCTTTACGGAGCTTATTTTATGTTATTTATTATTTATTCTACTACTGATAGTTGTATAAAGGTAGTAAATCTAGATAGAAATTGTGGCAAAACTTAAATTAACAGTGACACTATCGCGATTTATTGAAAAAGTCTCTAAAATAGATGGTTGTGTAGCGTGCGCTAGATCTCGGCAAAAATTGAGTGAAATAATGGAACAACTTTTCGCTAGTAAGTGCCTATGTAATATACACATACGTGTAGTAAACCGATCATTTATGAAATTCACTTAAATTAACTAATTATATATTTTTTCTTGCATTTTTGCTTTTATTTACTACTTGTCAAAGAATTTAGATACCTCAATTTGACTTACCTGCTTCAGTAGCGTATCGGATGTTTGTGTTAATAAATAATTATTAAAACTTATCTATTTTTATTATAATATGTTTTTATATAACAATTTAATAACTAGCATTTATTCACAACGTAAAATAAAAAAAATTATTGAGTCTACCCCACGTCTACCCTACATTAGAGGTGGGAATTCTAGTTCCTTGGGAGGAACTAGTTCCTTAGTTCTAGTTCCACCAGAGGAATAGTTCCTTGAACTAGGTCTTTAGTTCACAATAGTTCCCGACTAACATTGACATCCCCCTTGCTTGCTAATGCGTTTCGTTGTCAGTCAGAACTATTCACAGTATGATCTATATAATTTTTATAATGTACGGAGATATAACGAGACGTGTAATTGTGTATGTTAAAAACATATAGGTAAGTTTTAATAGAAGATAGTAAATAGAATAGCAGATAAAAAAAAATAAAAAAAAACTCAAATCAGAATTTAAAAAACTATATCACAAATCAATTGGAGCAAATATTATAAAAATTTTACGAAAAATTGCATTTTTCCCCACTTCAAGCTTTTTGTTTTTGTCTAAAAATTCAGAATATCTACTTTGTTTTATAAGATATTTCTTAATTTTAGGGACCTAAAGTGAAACATCCCATAAAATATTTAAAAAACAAACTAAAAATCAAAAACAGTATCCACGACAATTTTCTGTGGTAACTACGCCGCGCCGGCTGCGGCAATAGACAAGGCCGAATCCATCGTCGTCACCTTGTATTATATCTCGGAACTGCCGACTGAATAGATTCCCGTGAACTAGTCTTTTAATAGTTCCTCTATGTCCGGATCCAATAACATACGGCTCGCACTCCCCACGCCTCCCTAGCATCAATCGCGCTGGCTGATCCATACGTAAACTAGTCTTTTATTTAGTTCCTTTAGGTCCGGATCCGATAACATACGGCATAAGGCTGGCACTCCCCACTCCTGCCTAGCATCGATCGCGCTAGCCCGATCCGTTCGTACGTAAACTAGTCTTTTATTTAGTTTAGTTTATCTAGGTCCGGATCCGATAACGTACGTCTGACACTCCCCACTCCTGCCTACCATCGGGCTACGCGCGCTAGCCTATCCGTCGCCGTCGCATATTATTCTATATCGGACACAGTCTCAATCCCGGAATAGGTTTTGAGGAACTAGTCCTTTGAGAAACCAGGAACTAGTTCCTTTCATTCCGGGGTCGGAATAGTTCATTGGAACTAGTTCGTTCACGAACTACACACCTCTACCCTACATCATAGTTTTACATTTTTTAAATAAAATTAGAACGGCACTGATAAACCGGAATTTAAGTCGGCCATATTTGAGTCCCATCGCGGTGGACCTAAGATTTTTGATATGCTCCTTCCTTAGTCTTCTTATTCAAAGGTTACAAAAAATGTATTACTGTATGCGTTAAGGCAGGCGGCCACTGCGAGCGTAACTAAACTAAGCTAAGGTAACAAACGGTAACTAAACGAAAATAAGTTTCATCGGCCACTGGGAACGATTTTCGCTCAGTAGTCAGCTAAGTTAGCTGCGTTTTCGTATTGTATTTCTGCTGTCATAGAACTAATCGCTGCGAAAAATTCGCTGGAACCTGTCACGAACTAAAACGAGCGAAACTAAACTACGATTTGAATCTTCGTTCATATATTTTCGTTTAGTTTTGCTCAAGTGGCCGCTGATGCATTTAAAAGTATGGGAGCTGATTTTTACAAATCTTATCTTCGCTTGGCTTAGTTTAGTTTCGCTCGCAGTGGCCGTCCGCCTTTATTATTTGAACATTGTTTGTTACATTCGATTAAAATTTAGCGTGTGTTTGGGACTTGGTATTTCCAACAGATTAAGTTGAATGATTATTTCCATTCTTAGTTGGCCACCCGGTACCTAGGTCTAGTATCATATTGAATTTAGAAACAGCTTAGGTGTCACGTTAAATCAGTCTCATCACGTATTCAGAATGACATTTCTCAGCGTTATTAAAGTAGACAATATCTCTTTCAGATGCTGCAACTTCCGGTAAGAAAAAGAAGAAAAAATCCAAACAAAAAATACTGTTTTCGACCACACATGGCTTTATCGGGAAATTAGACACATGATGTTTTCCTTTCTTTAAATTATTAAGTGCAACAAAATAAAATACCAAAAAAAATTGTGACGCCTCTTATGAATTATTTGATATTTCATAGCACCATTTTAGTTTTATATTCATTATTTTTGTCTCGTCATTTTTATTCTGTTTTTAATTGTTTTATCGCTACTTCTATATTAACTGAATAGAACCTATTTTTTTAAGATCTTTGTTGGCGAAAGAATAATAAAAATTCTGCAAGTTTTAAACGTGTTTTATTTCATAATGAACAAGATTTAAAATCCAAAAATTTAGATATGTTAGAAATACATATAAGAATAAGTTCGAAAAAAACTTCCAGAGGAGATTGTAAAGGTGATAACTAACGGGCTTTTCATCTACAATATGATCGAAAAAAAACGGCGTCAGGGATGGCTATGAAATATAGATCGCTGTCATTTTATTGTTAAATTATATGGGGAATGTTATCGATGTTCATTTCCAAGCCAACTGGACGCTGTTTTTTTTTCTCGGTCATATATAATCTTTCAATTTGGTGTTTCCCCAAAAAGTTATTTGCATATATAGGGTGAACCAAAACCATTGTTTTTTTTGGTTAAAACTGTTTATTGTTTTAACAACACCCTTGATATAACACCGAAACAATCATTTAACTCATTAATAATTTTTACTTAGTAAAATTGTAATGTTATTTGTAACATTCCCACATCAAATTTCAAGTTTTTATCGTTAACCGTTTTTGAAAAAAAAGGCGATTGTGATTTTGTGTCACCCTATATAATTAAACAAGTTTTAAAGAATAACTTTACACCCTCTACATATTTCATAGACTCCGTTACTCTGTGATATTGTTGTGTTCTATGTTTTCTACTAATTCTTTAGCATCTTATTCGTTTAGAAATAATACATTTTGAAAACTTTAAACATGTTTTATTTTCTTAATAAATATAAATTGCATAAAAATAATATACACCTTGTTATATCAATAAAGGATTCTTCTGTATATATTTCATATTTCACATTTTTAACGAGATTATTATAATTATAAATTAGTATTACAAGAGTTATTAAGGTAAACTTTAAAAATTAGATAGAAAATATGAGTTAATACATCCCATAGTTACAGAATTATTTAGAATTTGGACATTCGTTTTTGTAAATACATAGTAGTTTATTAAGTACATACATCACCTCAGACAAAAGCTGATTATTCTCTTTTAAAATGTCGGACTGCTTCTTTTCCAGATTTCTCATGTTTGTAGGTCTAGAGAATATCGAGTTATTTAGTAAAATGCCTTTAAGCCAGATATCGGATAACATTGGTATGCCATATTAGGTAACAGTAAATTAATTTAAAAAATTAAATCAATAAAAGTAAGTTCAATAAATTAACTTTATTAAGATTTGATTATCACTTTTATATCTCATTCATCTTTTAGGTATAATGCTGATTGATTGATGATAAATTATACAAAACATTACTATAAAAAGTATTAAACAAACTTGCAATTTGGAATAAAAAAAATGCATTAGAACCCTGAAATGAAATTTATAGACTTAATATTGACTAGATACAGGGCGATCTACACAATACACTGTTCTAAAAATGCTTCATGGCTACATATTTCAGATTAATTTTTAGTCTAAATTACAAAATATGTGGGAATTTTTTACTTACCAGAGTAAGTCCAGTATCAGTAAATTCGTAAATTCTTGTTATAGTTGTGTTATCTGGGCTTATACATTCAGTTACTAATTTGTCATCTTTAATTATAGTAGTACTCTAAAAAAAATCACATCCTCGCATACTCCTAGACTTCTTTTTTTTTATTTTCTTCTATAACTCTGTACAGGGTGGGGCCTCTCATACGCCGCGGAAGCTCTAAGCAGAACGGTAGTTTATATCGAAATGAAATTTTGGGAGCATATGTAGGTTAACTGAAAGCATTTTATAAAAATATATAGAATTATACAGGGTGTCCCCAAAAAAAGTTATACATCAAAGTTGTGTTTTTTCTAATTAATTAATTTAATTAATTAATAATTCTTAATTATCGATAATTTAATTTCAAAATTCGACACCCCGTAGAACTATATTTTTAAAAAGTGCTCTGAATTAACCTACATATGCTCACAAAATTTCGTTTTAATACAAACTGTCGTTCTCCTTGGAGCCTCCGCGGCGTATGAGAGGTGCCACCCTGTATACCTACTTTGATTGTTGCACCTGGCATAGTTTCTTCATATTCTTCTCCCAATTTAAAGGTGTAAGAAACATTCCTAAACAGAGTTTTAGTTGTTATAGTCCATTGTCCATCTTCGTTTTTCGAAATTTCAATGGTAGGATTAGAAGAGCACATCATCTTTCTCGGTATGTATGGAACACCTAAAAAAAATATGTTTTATCAGTACTGTAATGATACAAAATGAACGAAAAAAAAAATTTATCAAGTTGCCCTTATATAAATTTTCATATAAAATGTCAACAATTTTCATTTCTAAGCTAACATGACACCTTTTTTTCGATCATACTGTACAGTACTACTCATACAACATACAAGTTACGTTAGAAATGAAGATCGATGACAATTTAATGCAAAATTAAATAGTAAATGTGATAGATTGTCATATTCACAGGTAACTTGACGCCGTTTTTTTTATTTAAAAGTAGGAAACTTGAAACTTATAATTTTCTTTAAAATATTTCTAAAATAGAGATTTTTAAATTCGTCATTTAGAACAGGTACTGCATAGTTTTTCATTATTTTAAACCTGTCAACAGGAAAAATAAATAAATAAAATTAACTTAAACAAAGATATTTGTTTAAAATTCTTACCTACAGCTTTGAAATAATCATCTAAATTTTCACTGTGCGTATGGGTGTAAATTCCTACCATTTGCGCCATCCTGTTGCAACCAATTTTTCTTTTAAAACACAAGAAATTTGACTTTTTTCTGATTAATAATCAACTAGCAGACTAATGGAAGCTGCAAATACACAAAAATAATATGTTATCTTATCAATTTACGTGTTTAAAGTTTTCTGTGATAATGATACATAATAATGATAATAATAATGATGTGACATAAATCATAAATTTTATTGTCTCAATATTTCTAAATAATTAAAAAGTTCTATTAAATTTTAAACCTCTACTACCTGTATCGATAAAAAGATATCGATACTAAAATCCGCCCCTTCAACATTAACACAAATGTATAACTGGTTACATAACCACATATAAAAGAAAAATTACACATAACCTAACTTTTTGACCTACTTTTTTTCTAGACCCCAAAAGTATTTAAAATATCTTTAAAATATTCAATAATTAAATGAGATATTATGACTGAAGACAACAAAGCTGACGATAATAAAAACACAGACAAAATTAAAGATGAATGGATGGTAAGTTACGAAATTCATTTAAAAAACTACATTCCAGTTATTTTTATTCTGTAATTTTAGATAAGAGACTGCAGTATTTACGATGAGGAATATTCAGATTGTACGTCCATTAAAGCCAGATTTAACCAACTTTTTATTTTCGGCAAAGTACAGGATTGTATACAATGGAAAAAAGACTCGGACAATTGTTATAAGTTCTGCAATGATAATGACCTCACGGCAGCGGTATTTACACTGATTATTAAAAAAAAATCATAATATATCATAGATTTCTTTACCTAGGCCCAGTTAATACAAAGTGAAAAAAATCGCAGAAAAGAAAGACTTCTATCTCACTTAAAGAATAATGTTTGGACAAAAAGGGACGGGCCACCTAAAAACTGGGATTCCCCGCTACCGAAACGCCTTCAAGAGCAATACGAAGGATCATATTTAGCTCTTAAATCAAAGGAAATGAAGGGAGAAATTGAACCTGCCTATGACCCTTTTTTTCGATCATGTACAATCTTATGATAGCAATATTCATTTAAGTATAGTAAAATTTTGTAAATAATAGATGTCTATAAGTAGAAAACATTTATTTGATCTCTTATTTCTAACATTTATCACTTATTTTAAGAGTTTAACTTATAACTTAGTAATGAAGTGCTTAAGTAGGTTTTATTTAATGTGATCTATACTCTTAAAGTCTGCTATATCTTTTCCTATATTATACAAAAAATCTTTTGCCATGTCTGTGGAATTACCGTCAATCATTTTAGAACATCTAACAATGAAATTCTCTAAATATTTGCCATCAGAATCATTTACATCCAGTTCTGACGTGATATATTTATTAGTATACTGAGCCAACTTCGAAAATACTGAACTGAAAGCCTCATCGAGGTCAAACAGTTCCAAACAGGGTGGTGGCAACTCTCTGAAGCAAGGAGGAAACACTGCAGCTTGTAGTGTTGGATATGGTGCTTCAAATTTTGGAGTAATAATCTTCAAAGGCACATGTTTAACTCCAAGGTCATCATATAGTTTCAGTGTCTCTGGTACGAGATTTGTGTTCATTGAATATACCTTGTGATCAAAAAGTTTTGTATAGTCTATCACTGAAGTGTTACTAACCACATCGGTTAAGCACAGTTTGGGTTTTTCAGCTAGCTCTGCCGTTTCTGGTACTATGTTTCGATCAGTGACTTCGATATCATCGTGATCAGTAGGTAAAAAGTGGACACGTTCGTTATCGTTTAGGAAAACCCACAACATTTCCCGAAATTTGTCGTTATTTTCTTGATCAATGTATTTATCTGAAAATATATGTCCAGAACCAATTGCCACAAGCTTGCCTCCGGTTTTTTCGTCGTAGTAAAGTGCTCCTAGAGGACAGTCCACCGGAAATGTGGCAAACCCACTCTTAAAACATATAACGCTGGGTTTCATTACATTCAAGGTACAACCAAATGAATAAACCAACTTAATGTCTTCTTTATTCTTATTCAGCGTAGAGTTTATTTGACCGTCCGCAATGTAGCATTCTTTTGGATGGAAATATTTATAATAATGCGTTCTTATGAGGCAGTCTTGATTAGGTACTATACCAAAAGTCTCTAAAAGAATATTTACATTCGATGGATCGTCAGATTTGCCTTCTGTAAGCAATACTAAAATCCTTCCACCATTTTCAATATAATTCTGCATTACCATCAATTCGTTTTCCTCGAAAATCATTTGCGATCCGGGCAGAATCAATACGTTGCAATTTTTTAACAATTCCGAAGTTATTTCTTCTCTATTTATAACCACCTTAGCGACAAACTTTAATTTTCTATAGAAACTTTTGTAATTATCGTTTACTTTGAATTGTTCTTGTTTTGAGGCGTTAAAAATTACCAAATTCTTGTTAGAATCCATTAGAAAATCGTCTGCAATCGGTGCCATGTTTACGCTCATTTATTTTGAATTTTGATTGATGCCGTTGCTAAGCAACCAATGAAGACACTTCTACGGAGATGTTCCCGGATGTTCAAAATAAAAATATTTTCAATTTTATTCGATTTTCATTTCTAATCTTTATAATTAAATAAATTACTATCTTTAATTAAGCGCAAAAAACTAATTTTACAAGCAAATATACCCGTATTAAAGGAAAAAATAAATTTCTAATCATGATTGACCTAGTTTTTTTCGATTTATTCAGTTGACGCCCCTTAAAAAAGCTAACTTCACATCGTTGAAAAAAACCAAACCCACAAAAACTTTTTGACATATGAGTTTACGTGTGAGTCATTTGTCTATTTAAAAATTTATAGTATTGTTGTTCTTGTAGGTCAATTAAAAAAATTAAAGCAATAAACTCGTGTTATTTCTGCGAATACGCGCATTCGGTAGTACAAATTATCATATCAATGCACTGAAGTTTGCTGAGATTGTGTAATATACGCGGTGTGTTTCATTTGTAGCAATATTAGGTATTCTCTCTGTGTGAAAACTGTAAAAACTGTTCGGGTGTATCGCGTTTGAGGAAAATGGCTAATACAGACGACTATTTGACGACTTATCGAGAGTTTTTCGAACATTTCGCCGAAACGGTAAACCCGAACGATCAACTACCTGTCAAGTTAGCCAGCTACAAATTGATAAACGTCGAAGTTGTGGGAGCAATTATAGATTGGACGACACAGTATTTGAGCCAAAAGTAAGTGTTAATTAATCAGACATTAAGATAAAGCTAAAAATAAATAAGACAATCTCACCTGAACCCTCGTTGTTTACAAATTGTACGCCGGGATAAACACTGTTGTAAAAACAAATGATGGTGCGTCTGCGCCAGAGTTGTATTTGTAAACAATTGGAATAATTAAAATACGTAATTAATTATGATAAGAATTTATTTTGCTTATTAACCGGGCTTTCCATTTTTGAGATCCCAAGGGATTTAAATGTTACCTAGTTGTATTCTTTTTGTGATTTTAGATCAAGTAGGTCACCTAAAGATCAGTTAAATGAATGAAAATCAGCATTGTAAAAAATACCTTTCCTGTTTTAAAATTACTTGTCCCTATTTTGTAATAATTCAATTATTACCGCCGATAACCATCTAGGTATATTGTGTATGTTTTTTTAATTTTCTTACTATATCACGATGGAGGAATGATTTAAATATCATTTAAAGATCTTTAAAAAATTATCAGGAAGTCTATCAGTAATATTTCAATGCAAAATTTAGAGTTTTTAGATTTATTTGTTTTGATAATTTAGTTTTATTAGATGAATTTGTAGAAAATTTATTGATAATCGTTTTATTCCTGGAATTGGCCTTTTAATTTTTCCTTTATTCTAGGTAAGATTTTATTTTTTTTCTAAATACGAACCTGTTATCAAATTTTTGCCTCAGATTGTGGGTGGCAGCCGTCGCCTAGGAAATTCATTGATCTCACGTGTTTTGCGCGTGCGTATCTGCTAAAATACGAAATTCGGGATATCAAGACGATCGTTTCCTGTCAAAATAATTTTATTTTGGTTGAATTTCGTTACTTTTGTTCGTTTCTAAGGTAAGTTTTCGTTGTTTTTGCAATGAAATATCCTCTATTTTATTTTTTTATTTAATATTTCGTGTCTTAAATTACGTACGTTTGCCCTCTAACCTTACATTATCGAACTTTTTAGATAAATCTTGAAAGGAATAAAAATGAATTGGAACCAGTGGCATCCTCAGGAGGGCTTTCTCAGTTCCGTGAAAGAATTACTACAAGAAGCCCTAATACCGGACAGTATGGTGCAAAAAAACGTCCAGGAAAAGATAAACATTGTTCAAAACATGCCTGATTTCACCTTTTATCTGTTTCACATTTTGGGAAATCATTCCTATCCAGAGGATATCCGATCTCTTAGCGGCATTCTAGTGAAAAATAGTATTTTAACCGTATACCAGACACTGTCTCAGGAAAGTATTTCAAGAATCAAACAAGACTGTCTCAATTTACTCATAGATCCCTCAAAAGAAGTTAGAATAAGCATATCAAATTTAATTGTTATAATAGCCAGGGACAATTTGAAGAATTGGCCAGAGTTGGTTCCTGCTTTGTTGAAAATGTTGGCGGCCCAGAATGAGTTCAGTGAAGTGGCTTTACTCACGTTATTTAAAATTTGCGAAGATCTAATCAACAGTCAGAAAACCCAAGAAGAAATTTACAAAATTACAAAGGAAGTGTTTCCAGAGTTTGTCCATTATCTTGTTAAAGAAGATTGCATTATCCAACAGGACATTATACGGCTTACTAATCAATTTTTGCAAGATTATTATCACATTATGAAACAGTCTCTGGACTTAGCAGTGTATTTGCGTAACGTAATTCGTCTAGCAAATACAGAAGACATTGAACTACAAAAATATATCTGTCACACGTTTGTTATTTATGTTGACAAGCAAGAAGAATCACTTTTGCCTCATTTGCATGATGTTATAATGTATTTAATGGAGAAAAATAACCATGAAGACCCAGAGATCGGACTGCAGGCCTGTGAGTTTTGGTTGGCTACGACAAAACTGCCTACTTGTAAAGATATTTTAAATCCATATATTGAAAAACTCTTGCCTATATTGCTGAGAAATATGCGATACTCACAAACAGAGTTGAATATATTGAAGGATAGTTTAGGAGCAGATGCTAACCATAAAGACATGGCAAAAGATATTTCACCTTTTCACATGAGAGAACGAAGAAACAGCCAGGGAGATGATGAGTACTTTAGCGATGGTGATGAAGATACTGAAGAACATGGAGATGATTTTGATGACTTCTACATGGGCTGGACCCTAAGAAAGTGCAGTGCAGCTTCTCTTGATTCTTTAGCTGTTAAATTCGGAGATGAACTTTTACCTGTTTTAATCCCCTTCATCAGTGAAATGCTTAATCATTCAGATTATTTAGTGAAGGAAAGCGCCATTTTAGCACTAGGAGCCATAGCCGAAGGCTGTATTAATGGCTTGAAGACACAGTTACCAGAGTTAGTTAATTTTCTGCAGACATCCATGACAGATGAACATTCCGTAGTGCGCGTTATCACTTGCTGGACTTTGAGCAGATACGTTTCGTGGATTATCAATGTAAAATCTGACACACCCCATGTTTATTTTGTTCCTGTGATGCTTTTGCTACTGAAGCATTTTATTGATGACAACAAGCGAGTACAGAGAGCTGCTATTTCGGCTTTTTGTATATTTCAAGAGGATGCTCAGTTGAAGCTGGTGCCATACATTAATATAATTATTGAAGGCTTTTTGTTGGGCTTTGAAAGGTTACAGTGTCGGAGTTTGTATTTGTTGTACGATGCTATAGGAGCGCTTGCGCAATCGGTAGGCAACCACCTAAACGATCAGCAGTATGTTTCGAAGCTTTTACCTCCATTAATGCAGAAATTTACCGAGAGTGACAGTTACTACGATGATCATTTTATCGCAGTGTTGGAGTGTTTGGCCAATGTTATTCCAGCCCTAGAAGTCTCGTTCTTACCCTACGCGGAAATTGTGTTCTGTCATTGCTTACAGCTGATAAATGACACACTGGTTTCCAGCATTAACTATCAGGAAAACCCGAATGAATATGATCCACCTGATAAAGAATCTATGAGTGTTGCACATGATGTTTTGTACAGTATGGCGCTGGGATTGAAGTCGCACTTTGTTAAGTTCGTTACAAACAGTAATTTAGTGTTTTTGTTGTACACTACCATGCAGGATAGTTCAAATTTGATCAGACAAACTTCAATAGCGTTGTATGGGGAATTAGTAACACTGTGCTATCCGTATATATCCAGTAACATCGGAGAATACATTCCGTTGATTATTAAAAATCTGGATGAACATTCTGACCTGGTTTGTAACAATGCCGCCTGGGTTATAGGAAGGATGTGTTCGGTGATGGGTTCCAATATCCAGCCTTATGTACCAGATATTGTAAGACACTTTGTGCATATACTGAGGGACCCAGCTGTCGCGAGAACCATGCACCAGAGCGTGGCTATATCACTGTGTTCAATTTTCTATGTGTGTCCCGATGTGTCTTCTGTTCCTGACCTGGACATAGTGCTGAAAAACTGTTGTATGCTCATCAGAAACGTTCGGGATTCGGACGAGAAAGACCTAGCGTTTCGCGGACTGTGCCAAGTCATCGTACGGAGACCCGAGTTTACCAAAAACTATTTTATTTACTTCTGTGATGCCGCCGCCTCCTGGTTTAATATACGAGTCGATTTAAAAGACACTATCCAGAATGTGCTGATGTCGTTCAAATTACAGTGTGGCGAAGAAAATTGGTCGCAATTCTACAACTCGTTCCCTGAACCACTCAAGGCTAGACTAAACGATTTGTACGGGGTGTGATCGGAACAGAACAACCACTCGTTCGGGGTAGTTTAATGAAAAAAAAAACAAATACGAGGAGTAATAAAATTATTAAGGGGTGGGAAAGCTTGGGTGCGCCTACCTTGACACCGTTTTTTTCTCGCGCGAAAAAAATAAACAAAATAAACGCATAAAATACGCACATGTTCTCTCTAAATAGGTGTAATGACGTTGACTGCTGGCGGGAGGGATAAATATACGTATACAGGGTGAGTCAAATTTAACGCCGGATTTGAAAACAATAGTGTAATGTTTTTTTTTCTTGAAATATATAGGATGTAACATGTTTTATAATTGTTTTTTTTTATATTTTCAAGTAAATACATATAGTCCAGGGATTAGAGCTTCTTCTAATTTATTTTGATAAATATAAATAGCCGTGATGGGGTATAAATGTAAAAATCTGAAGTGCATAATATTTTTATATTATATTTGTTTTATTGTTTAAGTTATTTGTAGATTATTTTTAGTTATTCTTTGACAAAATATTAGAGATAATTCTAGCATATTTTTATTGACATGAAACTAGATACAAAAAAGTGATTTATGGTAAAAGTGACTTAAATAATTCAGATTGTTAACTCGAATGTAAAAAAAATTAAAGTGCAATTTTTTACAGTTTTTTGGTTTTTAAATTATTAATGTAACTATTATTATTATTAGTTATTTATAATTAGTTCAGAAATTAAAAGTTTGAACTTTTTTTCGTATATGAATTAATTAAAGTAGCCATGAAAATAATTTGTGATAATTGTGAGTGCATAAATATTTCATATGTTTAATTATTATGTTGTTGGGAGATTATTCTAACTTATTTCAATAAATGAACATAGCCATGATGAAGAGATTCATTGGTGAAGAGTATGTAACGTTGATTTAACTAAATTGAATAATAATTTTTTAATGGAAATATTTCTATTTTTATTTATGTATGTTTAAGGTATTAATACATAAATTAAGTACTCTAGAAATTAGTTAAATATAATTTATTTAAATGAAACTAGCCATACTAGCACAGTTTAAAGAATATAAACTGTGATACTATTGGTGATTTGTGATGCCAGTAAACTAAATAACTTCAGTTCACTAAAGTTTTTTATTATTTTTATCATTAAGTTACCACGTATAATACCGTATGATCGAAAAAACCGTGTCAAAGACGGCTGGGAATGAAAGTTGTTGATAATTTTGGCGAGGTTAATTTGTAGGTGTCATTTTCAAAAAAAAATCACATTCAACTATTCTTTTATCTATGATTACAACCTTATTACGGGCTGAGTATTGACGTCTCGAGCTTGACCGCGCCGAAATTGTCATCGATTGGCATTACCCAGCCGTCTTTGACGCCGTTATTTTTCACGATCGTATAGTACTATAGTCTTAATTATGTAAATTTTATATAGAAAAAGATAGAGTGTCTAATTAAAAAAAGAATATC